TTAGAATAGTCTTTTACTAGCATTTATGCATTCTGTCTTGGTACTTAGTCCTTTCTTCTTGCTTTCCTTCACAGCCTTCTGCAGGAGATCTTGTAGTTTTCTTTCTACGTCTGCTATCAACATTGTGTCAAATGCATATCTTATGTTGTTAAGATTGTGAATGACAATAATAAATCCAGTGAGGACTTCTAATTATCTCACTGTATAAGCTTAATGAGTCCGGCGAGAAGACACATACTTGTCTTACACCTCTTTCTATTTTTGTATATCTGCTGGATCCATTTTCTATCCGTATACAGGCGGTTTGCAGTGATTGTAGGTTCTAGATTATTCTAATATCCTTCCCAAATATCACGGTCCTTCTTTGTCGTGTTCCCGCAGGACGTTGAGATCATGGCTCTCCATAATTTCGTCTCCTTTGTAGTTCTTAATAAATTTTATCATTTTTGTTATTTCTCCTAAGCCCTTTTCCGACATCCATTTACTCAAGCTCATTATTATTCTACTATGTGCCTTGTCCCTACAGGACGTTGGCGATCACGGCTCTCCACAATTTCCTGTCCTTTGTAGATCTTAATAAATTTTGTCTTTTTTGTTACTTATACTAAGCCCTTTTTCCGAGATCCATTTACTCAAGCTCATTCTTCTTCTTCTATCTGCCGTGTCCCTTCAGAACGTTGGTGATCATGGCTCTCCACAATTTCCTGTAGATCTTAATAAATTTTGTCTTTTTTGTTATTAGAATATCTGACGCTCAGCTTCTCGAGAGCTCCTCTTTGCGACAACTCGGCCTTACATTGACTGCTGACCTGGGATGAAACAAATACATTGAGTCAATAGCTTCGTCCACAGCAAAGACAAGTTGACTCCCTGTGCCGCGCCAGGAAATTTTCTCGCCGGATTCGATCCTACAAATCAACCATTCACCCTTGCATGGAGTATTGATGCCATATATGGTCTGGTGCCCCTTCTGTTTGTCTCAAGGTTCTTGATAAAATCCAGAGACGGACATGCAATGTAATTGGCCCTGATCTCTTATCTCGTCTGCAGTCTCTCTCTCACAGACGTGCCGTTGCCTCCCTCAGTCTTTTTTCACAAATACTTTCACGGTAACTGCTCCGAGGAGCTGCTTTCGCTGGTTCCCAAACTTCATGAATTTAAGCGCTCAACTAGGCTGGCATCTCGATCAAACCCTTTCACTGCCGAAACTGTTAAATGTAGCCGTCTCTTCTACTCCAATAGCTTCATGTCTCTCACTTTTCACCTGTGGAACTCCCCCCTTTTCTTGTTTCCCTGATATCTATAATCTCCAACTATTCAAATGTAATATCAATCGACGTCTCCAGATGCCTATCCTTCTCTTCATCCTTTCCGCTATCACTCCTATTTGCTCTTGCTCCAACTCTCTGTAACCCCTTGCTTCCTAGTAGCTTCACGCCTTGCTTGGGGTGAAACGCTTAAAAAAAAACTCCTATGCCCTGTTCCGCCAACTCAAGCTCAATATTCTTCTTCTAAGTGCCGTGTCCCTATAGGACGTTGGCGATCATGGCTCTCCACAATTTCCTATCCTTTGTAGATCTTAATAAATTTTGTCTTTTTTGTTATTTCTCCTAAGCCCTCTTCCACCATCCATTTACTCAATTTCATTATTCTTCTTCTATGTGCCGTGTCCCTACAGGACGTTGGCGATCATGGCCCTCCACAATTTCCTATCCTTTGTAGATCTTAATAAATTTTGTCTTTTTTGTTATTTCTCCTAAGCCCTCTTCCACCATCCATTTACTCAATTTCATTATTCTTCTTCTATGTGCCGTGTCCCTACAGGACGTTGGCGATCATGGCTCTCCACAATTTCCTATCCTTTGTAGATATTAATAAATTTTGTCTTTTTTGTTATTTCTCCTAAGCCCTCTTCCACCATCCATTTACTCAATTTCATTATTCTTCTTCTATGTGCCGTGTCCCTATAGGACGTTGGCGATCATGGCCCCCCACAATTTCCTATCCTTTGTAGATCTTAATAAATTTTGTCTTTTTTGTTATTTCTCCTAAGCCCTCTTCCACCATCCATTTACTCAATTTCATTATTCTTCTTCTATGTGCCGTGTCCCTACAGGACGTTGGCGATCATGGCTCTCCACAATTTCCTATCCTTTGTAGATATTAATAAATTTTGTCTTTTTGTTATTTCTCCTAAGCCCTCTTCCACCATCCATTTACTCAATTTCATTATTCTTCTTCTATGTGCCGTGTCCCTATAGGACGTTGGCGATCATGGCCCCCACAATTTCCTATCCTTTGTAGATCTTAATAAATTTTGTCTTTTTGTTATTTCTCCTAAGCCCTCTTCCACCATCCATTTACTCAATTTCATTATTCTTCTTCTATGTGCCGTGTCCCTACAGGACGTTGGCGATCATGGCTCTCCACAATTTCCTATCCTTTGTAGATCTTAATAAATTTTGTCTTTTTTGTTATTTCCCTAAGCCCTGTTCCGCCATCCATTTACTCAATCTCATTCTTCTTCTTCTATGTGCCGTGTCCCTATAGGGCTGTTGGCGATCATGGCTCTCCACAATTTCCTATCCTTTGTAGACCATAATAAATTTTGTCTTTTTTATTTCTCCTAAGCCCTGTTCCGCCATCCATTTACTCACGCTCATTATACTTCTTCTATGTGCCGTGTCCCTTCAGGACGTTGGCGATCATGGCTCTCCACAAACTCCTGTCGTTTGTAGATCTTAATAATTTTTTTTTTATTACTTCCTAAGCCATGCTCCCTCATCCATTTATTCAAGCTCGCTAAGTATGCTAGGCGTTGTTTTCATCTGTCCATCTTGCTCAAAAGTACTGAGGACCTCTCCACGAGGAAAATCTTTTTCATTTGGAAAGAAGATCATTTTTATTTATTTATTTTTTTCATGAAAGGCATTAGAATTAAAGATTCTATCGGCGCGGCTAAATAGTTTTCGACCTTTATGTGACCTTTGCTCCTTATTATGCTGAAGCGGCCGACGCCCCGCCCCCACTCTTGTTAAAATAGATATGAATGATACTGTAATAAAAAGAGGAAAATGAAATCCCGTTGTTGTTGTTGTTGTTGTTGTTCTTCTTCTTCTTCTTCTTCTTCTTATTATTATTATTATTATTAGTAGTAGTAGTAGTAGTTAATAATATTATTTTATATTGCCTCCATGACATTTACAATCCACTTAAACACGCCTTCCTATAGTTTTCAGACAAATATTCCCTGGGATAGAATAATACAATACAACGCGCAATGTAAACGATGTAGATTTCTGTTATTAATAAAAAATTATGTCTATCTAAATATCTGGGAAGTGTTCTAAGAGAGGACGAAAAGTGTGAAACTGAAATCCGAAAAGGCATTGGGATAGGCAAAGATGACTATCCGAAGCTAAGGAGTGTATTAAGAGACAGAAAAAAAAAAACTTCGTTAGAAAAAAAAAAGGAAAGAATATTGAACAGTTGAGTGATATCTGCCCGCCTGTGCATGTCGAACAAGTCTCCTCAAAAATGAAGAGATCTGAAGTAGCAAAAATGTTGTTCTGCAAAAGGATGCTGAGGGTACCAGGCGAACAACAGCGCTGTTTTAGAGGCAGAAACATCTTTAACATATTTAATAACTAATCCTCCAAATGATAAACATCAACCCCCTCCTTATTAATAATGAACTAACCCAACAATATCGTCTAATATTAAAACAATAAACATCATTCCAAACCAAAACATACGCCATGATGATTGATATTTACCTGGCATAGGGCATCGTCCTTGTGCTGGTGGTATCACGGTTACGATTACCTTGGACCGGCTCTGACTAGCTTGGCCGAGTTTTAAAGTGGGGTATCCGAGCTTGTAGGCTCGGGCAAAAATTCCTCTTAGACCACGTAAAAACGGAGTCAGTTTCTCGAGACGAGACTCTGCCCTTCGGGCAGAGCCTCGTCTGGGGGATACCCTCTGACATGTGCCAGGTAAGTTCAAACTCCATATATATATATATATATATATATATATATATATATATATATATGAAAGGCTCCATCACTAATATTCCATGGTTATAATTTATTACATTGGAACCGTAATCACAATCCAATTCATCAGACCTACAAATTCAAAAAGCATATATATATATATATATATATATATATATATATATATATATATATATATACTAGCAGCATGGCCCGGCGTTGCCCGTGCTTGACTCATACAGCAATCGCTATCACTTGACTTAAAATATTTTTGCCCTTCCTTGCCTTTAAAGGAGTGCCCTTTGCCGTGCTGATGTTGCTACATGCCTTACTTCTTGCCTATCTCACACTGCGAATTTTTTCTAAGCTCTCTACTAAACATTAAATCTGTTACAAAAAAGAACTAAGCAAAATGAACACAAAACGATCAGCTTTAAAATAAGGACTCGTAACTGGAAAAACCGAATGAAAAAAGAATGTTAACAACAAATACTTTTTCACATCCAACCCAGTTCTGTGGAATCAGAATCAACGTTGAGTTTAAGCAAGCGAATGAGCCAATTGGAGTAAAGTGCTAAATAAAGTTCAAATATCTATTTCAGATTCAAATTAAGTGTGCATTTTTTTTGCATTTTCTTTAAAACGTCCTCATTATTCACATGCTCATTCCATGGTATTCTCAGCATCCTTCTGTAGACCAACTTCTCTGTTGTCACAAGTTTCTTCTTCATCTGTAAGGAAATTATGCAGCATTCACTGCCATAGGAGAACTGATATTGCAAAGCGGCTTAACATATCTTTTTCTTTGTTGGCTACGGCATTTTCCTGTTTCTTAATACTGTGTTTAGCTTGAGAAAGACATCTTTCATTACTCCAATGCACCTTCAGATTTCAATAATAGATTTACGGTCCTGTATTAAAACAAATTACAGACATTTAAATTTTATACTTACTTTAGTTTGACTCCGGGAGACTTGGATACATGGTTAGATATGTAGAGACTTATATAGATAGATAGATAGATAGATAGATAGATAGATATGGACAGAAAGAAAAAGATAGATAAGAGCAGACTGAGATAGATAGATAGATAGATAGATAGATAGATAGATAGATAGATAGATTTGACTAGAATTAGATAGATAGATAGATAAACATAGATATGACTATAATTATATAGATAGATAGATAGATATGAACAGACTGAGATAGATAGATAGATAGATGCGCAATGTGATAGCTAGCTCGATATATAGATAGATCGATAGATAGATGTAGAATGTGATAGATAATGGAAAGACTTATATATATATATATATATAGATAGATAGATAGATAGATATGAATGGACGATAGATAGATAGATAGATGTGCAATGTGATAGCTAACTCGATATATAGATAGATGTAGAATGTGATAGATAATAGAAAGACTGATATATATATATATATATATACATACATATATATATATATATATATATATATATATATATATATATATATATATATATATATATATAATAAAAGGCTTAAACACTAATATTCCATGGTCATAATTTATTCCATAGGAATCGTAAATACGATATATATATATATATATATATATATATATATATATATATATATGAAGAAAATTTTTTGAAAAAAACAAACAAAAAATCCTTAAATGCAATTATGTTGTTTAAAATGAATGAAATGTCGACGTCTGACGTTTCGGTTTAATAAACCTTTTTCAAGACAATATTCATTACAATTCAGTTCAATTTAACAAAGACGATGGACATAAACAACACCGTAAGTAACGCACATATAAAGAATTCAGGCTCTCTTCTAAATAAGTTGAGAAATATTGATATAGATAACAAATCACTAGCTAGCTTAGACATTAAATCTTTATATACTAATATACCTGTTGATAAATGCATTAAACAATTAGAGAACCACCTTAAGAAAATTGACTTTAAGCTACCTATCTCTATCTCGAAATGCATCAAATTATGCATCCTTTGCACTTCACATTGTTTCTTCCAATATAATAATATTTATTATAAACAAAAATTTGGTTTACCGATGGGGAGTCCTCTCTCTGGATTCCTAGCATGCATATTTCTAGAATTTCTTGAATCTGGACCTTTTAAAGATGTCATTCCACCTGATACACATTACTTTCGATACATCGATGACATTTTATTTATCTACCCACATAAGCATGATTTAAACGAGATTACTGATAGATTAAATAGAATAGAACCTACTATAGAATTTACCTATGAACTTGAATCTAATAATTCTTTACCTTTTTTAGACATACTACTCATTAAAAATAAAAATAAATTAGAATTCAAAGTATATCGTAAACCTACATGTAAAAATGACTATTTACATTTTTACTCACACCATGATACTAACACTAAGAGGGGTATTGTTATTGGATTCTGTTTAAGGGCTCTTCGCATCTGCTCATCAAAATATTTAAATGATGAATTCACATATATTGAGGATACCTTTTCAAATCTTTCGTATCCGAGACAATTATTACAGAGAGCTAAAAATAAAGCGTTGAAAATTCACTCATCAGCGCAAAATGACACCTCGAAGGCCACTACAACTACATCAATGAAAGATACAATTTCAGTTGTCTCTGATAATATTTCGTTTGGTCGCATCTTTTTACCAAATAACCATTTGACCGAACGTATCTCTCATAATCTAAATGCATTAAAAATTAGAACTACTATATTACCTACTAGGACTATCCGTAGTTTATTAAATAGCACCAGCAGACAACATATTACATCCGATGCTTGCATCTATCAAATATCATGCAAAAACTGTGACCTAAAATATGTGGGTGAAACAGGTAGGTCCGTAAAATCTCGTGTTTTCGAACATAAACGAGATATTCGCCTCGGAAATTTTAACAATGCTTTAGTTGTACACACAACTAAAGCAGGTCATAATTTCGATTTCGACTCCGTGAAAGTATTAAAATATTTTCATAATAAAAATCTCAGGAGGATTTATGAAGCAGGTATAATATCCATCTCACGCACGGTCTATACTAGACCTGGTTTCTTTAATATTTCCCCTTTTTTAGCGAGATTAATGCTCGACAAGCATACACATAAAAATTTTAGATCCTAATAGAATTCTTTTCATTTTCTTTTTCATTTCAAAATAATCACAAATTTTTAGGAATACGTTTTGAAAGCGTCGCCCATGTGACGACGGCGTGACCATGTTAGACGGAAGGCTGATCATTTTAAAAATTTTCAGTTATCTGTTTTAGATAAGACTTGTTTTTTATGTCCATCGTCTTTGTTAAATTGAACTGAATTGTAATGAATATTGTCTTGAAAAAGGTTTATTAAACCGAAACGTCAGACGTCGACATTTCATTCATTTTAAACAACATAATTGCATTTAAGGATTTTTGTTTGTTTTTTTTCCAAAAATTTTTCTTCATTCTGTCGGATTTATATCCATTTACATTTGCTTACATATATATATATATATATATATATATATCAAGTATGTGGTGCAGTTCAGTTTAAGTTACATGAATTATTCATACATAAAAACATTTAAATCATTAACTTCTATATCTGTTTTTTGTATGAATGATTCATGTAATATATATATATATATATATATATATATATATATATATATATATATATATATATAAAGATAGATAGATAGATAGATAGATAGATAGATAGATAGATAGATAGATAGCAAATTGAAACAGTGGGTAGATAGATGCCTGAATGTCATTATTCTCCCACTCTTTGTCTAACACACTATTCAGTCGCTCGTTCCCAAATCACACTGTAAATTATTGCACCTTATCCTGTTCCTCATAATGACAACAAGAAATTCTTTATTCTAAGAACTGATGATTAGTCCCCTCTTACAACTTTCTTTCACTAACTTAAAATGGAATTTTCCTTTCTGCGATGGCTATCAAAACCCTGCCATTTGCATATGTTATGCTGTTAAGATTTTTTCTTGACGATTACAAATTACGGCCGGACTTAATTTTCTTAGGATCACCTCGCTGTAAAGGTTAAATAAATCCTGGCTTAACTTTGTCACATGTCAATTTCTATTTGTGTGTATTGACTCGATTAACGTCACTGCTCTAAAAGTGCAGTTGTTATGGCGTTCTGGTATAAAATGGAGGAGACGCTTGTAAAAAGGCGCTTCGAATGTCGTAGGAAGATAATACTTTGTTTTGCACTTGCGACATTTGTATAAACTCCACAGCATTGTTCGTTTACTTATCCCCAAGAAACGCTGTTTATATTAAAGTTGAGGAAACTGATGTTACTATGAAAACGCAGAACAAGAAGAACAGGATATAGAAAAACCTGATGCTACGTTAACAATTCACTCGTCGATAAAGAAAAAAGAAAGCAGTTAACATGTTTGATTTATCGATTCTGTAATAAATACGGGATGAGACAATATATCTCTTTTATGGCAAAAACAAAATGGACGTAGCCACTCCTCTTTACGACTTGGATTTTGATTCTCTAACGTAGCAATAAATAAATAAAAACTGAAATAGGATATATATGCACATAAGCTTATTTTAATATATTTTCTGTTTAGACGTTATTTTTTATAACGTACAAATTTTAAATAAATATATTGGATATTTAAGTAAATGCTTTTTATAATAAACAGTATTAATTACATTTACCGGCTTGAATGTCAGAGAAATTTCACAGAAAATGTGTCCTCCGACAGGAATCGAACCTGTATCATACACAGAATTGTCATAAAGCCTTGGAATAAAATGAATATGCATCAATATGGTAATTTTTTTTCTTCCTTTAAGAAGGATACTAAGAAACTATATATAGGTGTGTATGCGTGTATAGGTACAAATAAATTTACAAATTCCTCGTAGTAAAACAGTATATGTATGGAGGGGAATATATACGCACGCATATATACACGCATGCTGACAGAAACGCACCAAAATGGAAACAGATCCAAGAGCACATAGGGGTCAGTAAAACATTAAAAGATAAAATGCCGATAACTAAATTATCATCTCGCTGGACCAACCTTAATTGTTTTATGACCCTTCACGCAGAACTCTTCATTGCCATTTCAAGAGGGAAATTCAGATTACCAACACACAAACAGAACATGTCTCATATCGAGAATATTTAACATTGAACATGAGGAAAAATTAATTATTATTTTTAATGATATGTGGAAATCTCCACTTTTACCTGAAGACAGTCGCGAGACCAGAAACACGTGTCGTGAAATTATGTAAAACAAAACATAATATTTTTTCTAAATAAATCCACATTACAACCAAAAACGTTTGCGGCACCTCTCTTCTCTTCTTTTTAATATACATACTTTTCTCTCGTTGGAACCACTACAACATATTTTTTTTATTTATATATATATATATATATATATATATATATATATATATATATATATATATATATATATATATATATATGGCGTATGTGGTATCGAATCCTTTTTGATTCAATTACAGTTCAGATGGGTTAGTCATGTTATCAGAATGAGTGATGATCGGATGCCGAAAATCCTCATGTATCCCCAGAACATTATACTGAACGGATGCTTGACAATACTTACTGCTAACTTTAAAGAGCTTTCAAGGCTTATTCTTCAGATTTTAGATCGCTTATCCTTTGAATTTAGCTCAACTTTCGCTTCATCGGAGAAGAGAACATTTAGTAAATAAAATCAGGTGAGTCACTTTTATCGAACATCACTATATATATATATATATATATATATATATATATATATATATATATATATATATATATATATATATATATGACATAATCCCTTTGACTTTTGTAATCGTAGTCGGGTGGCGAATGCAGAAGCCGCACTGAATCTTTTTCCCCAACGGTCTATCAACGGCAGCCATCAGCAATTCTGTTATAGACATACTTGTCCATTGTTTGACATTGTCTAACCTGATTTTTGCGTTGGTGCTCTCCCCTACATACACCTCAAACGATGCCTTGCATGATGGTCTTGCACAGGCTGTCGTGCTCCTTGTAACGTGTCCAAACCACGCCATTTTTCTTCGTTTGACAGTGGCGAGAAGAGGTTCCTGGTGGCCCACAAAACTTTCAACCATTTTTCGCACAAATATCTTTGGTTTTTTGTTCGCAATAGAAAGTTAAAACTTGATAAAATATGTCGTCATTTATTTACTGCATAGCAAAACTAGTATTAGAAAATTCTATTTGGTAATTTCTAGTTAATTATTATTATTACTATTATTATTATTATTATTATTCTCTTTGCGTAGGTGTTAATAATTATTGATTCTATGTATAATGCTAATGATTTTTTTTCTAAGTCAGTGTCTTATCACCATCATCATCATCATCATCATTATCATCTTGACTTTTGTAATCGTAGGGGGTGGCGAGGATCCGAATGCAAAAGTCGCACTGAATCTTTTCCCCAACGGTCTATCAACGGCAGCCATCAGCAATTCTGGTATAGTCATACTTGTCCATTGTTTGACATTGTCTAACCTGATTTTTGCGTTGGCGCTCTCCTCTGCGTCCATCTCAAACGATGCCTTGCATGATGGTCTTGCACAGGCTGTCGTGCTCCTTGTAACGTGTCCAGACCACGCCATTTTTCTCCGTTTGACAGTGGCGAGAAGAGGTTCCTGGTGGCCCACAAAACTTTCAACACTTTTCAACACAAACATCATTGGTTTTATGTTCCCAATAGAAGATGTCAAGGAATTCTCTCTCTCTCTCTCTCTCTCACACACACACACACACACACACACACACATATATATATATATATATATATATATATATATATATATATGAAAATTTCTCCGATTTAATCGGTAGAGAAGACAATATTTATGAATAAAAATGACAATAGGACTAAATGTGGACTTTATCAAAGCAAAATTTTGCTTTGATAAAGTCCACATTGGACGAAACGCGTCAGCAATTACCAGTTTTCCTATTGTCATGTTTATTCATAAATATATATATATATATATATATTCCACATCTTCGGGCGTCATCTTCCTGTAGCCGAGCGATATAACGCACTCCGGATCTGATAGCGGCTTTTTTTCAACGAAGGGGCACGCAGGTTCAAACCATGACAAAGAGTGTCACTTTTTAGTTGTCTTGATTATGCAGGCTACTAGTGATACTGTTTAAAATAAAAAAATAAAAAAAAACATTCAGAAGGTCTATTCAAACATGGGTATCCACATACTATATATATATATATATATACAGAGCGCGATGGGTAAATTGTCGTCTAAATTACCACAAAAATGAAAATAATACTGACATCTCATTTTAACAGATATATTTACCAAAATTACACAAAAATATCTCAAAATATTAAAGAGTAAATTTATTCAATGAAATCGCCTCCAGACGACTTAGAAATCTCCTACATATCTTCTGGGAGATCTCCTTGTTTAAGTTGGTAAATGCTGCCATAATTCTTGCCTTCAGTTCATTCAGTGTTACAAGAAGTTTTTTTTTTTGTTTTTGGTCTCTCGCTCAACTGCGTCCCACTCGTAATAATCAAGGGGGTTGCAGCCTGGGAAGTTAGGTAGCCGGATGTAACGGGTGATGTAGTCGCAGGAATT